CAGTTCTTGTGATGTAGACATTATTATCCTCATTTTACAGGTGAGGAAGTTAAGGCTCAGAAATGTTGGAAACTTGCCCTAGGTTCACACCATTAAGAAGTGGCAGAACCAAGTCATGCAGCTCTTTGTTCCCTTGTAATAGGAGCTGAATGATGACAATTCAGCTTTTTATGCATTTTATTTTGAAGTTGGTTTCTAATTTGAATAGGACCTTTAGAGCAGAGGACTCCATTTCCACCTGAGAATTCCCCACTTCTGGAGCTACTGGCCAGGCCACCTCTGGATATCCCCAGGGTTTCTGCTTACTGGCAAATACAGATATGACNAATTGAGCTGCGGTCACAGAGACACTCTATTGCTTCTTAGGCCGCCCCCCACCCCCAGTCCACTAGCATTGGTTTCCTTTAGATAGTTGCAGACACATAGAAGTTTGCACACTTCAGGGTGTGCTCATCACTTTTTGGTATGTACTGGAATCCTGGCAGCTTCTTCTCAGATTCAGAGAGGTGTAAACATTAAGATGAAGATAATAATTTGGGTCTGTCCTTTGGAGTAATTTAGGGTGGCTGCTTAATTTGGAATGGTTCAAAAGTTTTGAGATTGTCACACCCAGTAACTTTTTTCTCCCACTGCATGTTATTCTTCCCACCTGTATAATGAGGTATCTTTTCTTCTCTTGGAAGCTTAGTAATTCTTCCTTTGCCCTGTAACATTTCTTTAATACCTACATTTATGAGGTGCTTATTATGTCCCAGGCACTATATTAGTAGTTATGCAAGTGAGAGAACATGCCTAAAGTTCTTACAATAGCGTTTGGCACATGGTAAATGCTCGGTACATGTTCTCTCCTGTATCTCATTTTCATTTTCCAGCAGTTCTTGTGATGTAGACATTATTATCCTCATTTTGCAGATGAGGACGTTAAGGCTCAGAAATGTTGGATAACTTGCCCTAGGTTCACACCATTAAGAAGTGGCAGAACCAAGTCATGAATTTCTTTGTTCCCTTGTAATAGGAGCTGAATGATGA